GCTTAAAATTGAGAGATTTCTAGGTTTATAGGTATAGTGTAACAAATTAAGTAACGAACGTAAGAGATATAAACTCATGCAAGGATCAACAGAAGCTTATCTTAAAAAAAAAATAATATTATTGTACAATTTTAAAAATATCATAAGTCTTTAAGGGGTTATTTCTACTTGAAAGTCCGAAAAAACCGTTTTATAAAGATTTTGTATTTCATTGCTCTTGTAGCCGTTCTCCAGAAGGACCTCCAAGAAAGGTGCCTTTTTCTGCTTGAAATCATTTCAACTCGAAAAACCAAAAAAATCTGTTATTATTATAAATGAATACATGCAATGCTCGAAGGACTAGTCAAAATTATAATTATTAACAAATGGCGGCTTCTCAAAAAAGTCGATTTTTGTGAGAAAATTTTGACTTCAGAGTGGCTTCAAAAATCGAAATTATTATCAAAAATCTTATTCCGTCGATCATTACTTGATATGTATAGGTAAGAAGATCGTGTGAAAGTTTAAAGTCGTTCGATCCAACGGCTCTTACTTTTCTTTCTTACCGCCTCTAAATACAGCGTTTCGGGACAAATGCATTTAAAGTTTTGGAAGCCGATTGCACTAGGCCCTAACCTATGTTCCCATAGTTCATTCGTCTAATAAAAATGTATATGTAGTTTAAGACCACTCCTGAATATAAGGGACATTTCGCTAGATCTACTTTGTGTAATACTGCTGGGAGGAAAGAAAAGGGGGAACAAACTGTTAAAGACAGTGGTGTGTGTTTTGAGTATACTTTATGGAACATTTTACTTATTAGTAGAGGCCATAAGGAAACCAAATTTTCTCCCAAAAATTAGATCTCTTTAATAGTGACATCAAAGTTTAGTTAGTTTGAGGGCTGTCTTCAGGATCTATTAAACATGAGTAACAGGGTTTCTATATCCACAAAGATGTGTCGGTTTCTTACTAAAGTGCTGGTTTAATTTATTTTAGCTATTTGCTGACCTTCGCTAGACAAATGATTTTCAAACAAGCTGAACGCACGCTAGCAACAATTCAAGGATTCAGCACTAAATGGTTGACAGGTGATTGTCGCAAGAAGTCTTGCTATTCTCTAGGTGGTAATAAAACCCCAGCTCTCTTATTCTATTGGATGTGGTCCGAGTACAAATAAAGCAACTTAACGTCGCTACTTACACCTAGACTTCGGAATGTTGAACCGACATTACTAGAGCCAGGATCATAGATACAAAAAGCCAACCAACATTAAACAAATTTTCTTACAGAGAAGATTTTAAATAATTTATGCTCAAACGTATATTGTTATTTTGCGGTCTTGCGCTGGCATTTGCACGTCAAACCACAGAAAGAGCTTTACACTGCGCTCTACGTATGCGTTCGAGCTCAACTGAAACTCTCACCAAACACACCCACACAGAGTTTAGACCGTGCTTTTGAGTTGTGTACTCGTTTGTTGTTGCACTGCCTTTCCACGCTCTCCACGTCCGCTATAGCTGTGTCCATGCACTCTTTAAGTTTCGCTTTGCACATGCCGAGCTATTTTAGCGGTGAGCTTCATAACAATGCCAATGGTGGATAGCAAGGAGTGGTCACATGATAACATTGTTGTTTTTATTGTTGCCATATTGGTATGCTGCGCTGCTGTTACATTCACCTATGCTACAACAAATGTGCAGAAGTGACTTTATTCTTGTGGCAGGTCCAAAACTGCATAAAAGCAACGAAATCGTCGACATTCCAACACATAAGTAACTCGTACTTATATTAGCATCCACATGCATACATATAATAGCATCCTTAAACGAGTCCAAGTGAGCGCGTCGTTACCTGAAGCAATCGAGTGTTGTAGTCAAACTCGTGCTCGAGCTCGGCAAGCTGCGTCGCAACCAATCGAAGACCATAAAGCAGCAGCCAGCAGTTAGAAGCCAGCGAACACAAAAGAGAGCAATGACCTTTGATGTCAAATGAATTCACCACTGTTACACACCACTTGCATACATAGCAGAGTGTTAGTACATAGTTGGGGGTTCAGGCTGCAGTGAAACGTCTACATTGGACTCGGGTTTGAGTATGCGCATCATACACATCAACACCGCACAACCACTGTTTCCTATCAAACTGTCACTGCCTTTAACGGTTGTCGTTGGTGAGTGCGACGACGGCGTTAGTGTCGTTGCTGTCTGTTGTTGTTGGCGCATGGTATTAGTGTCGTCTATTGCGAAACTCCTGCAACTGATGCCATTGACGATTCTTTGATTTGAAATTATGCCTGCCATTGATGCTGTCGCTCGGTCGTTTGGCTGGCGCTGCGGGTGATTTCGTTTCGTTGGCAATGCGACGGACTCAAATGCATTAGATTAGTGATTGTGAACTGTATAGTTTTTAAATTAATGTTAGATTTTGACGACTTATGCATATTTGTATGTATAGATATGTGTATAGAGGTCTGATGCTGAAGCTGTTGCATGAAATTGTGTTTGTGTTCCGGTGATAAAGAGTTCTTGTTCTAGAAATCTAGGACGTATCTCTTTCTCTAAGAAATGTCACCTGTTAATACGATTTTATTATGGGTAACAGAGAAAATTCTGGTGGAACACTTCTCTTGAATGCTCCAAACGCTTTCTCAGCTCAGTTCGTCATCATCCATATGAGAGTAGAGTTTCTGCGCCATATAATAGGAGAGAGCAATCCCCTTTTCAATTGTTTACCGATCCCAAATTAGCACATGTTGGTAACAGTTATTCTGCACTTGATCTCGAGGCTTCGATTGTTGGTGGTATTTATGCTGGTTTTAGGATAGTTATTGTCGTTAACTTTTTCAGATTTGTAACTGCCAACAGTGAAATAGTTCCCAAGACGCGAGGAATCTTTGTGTGTGGTCACCAGGTACTTTGTCTTGCACTCGTTTACCACATGACTTACCTCTTTCACTTCTTTTTCTACGCTGGAAAAGGCTGCGCGGTGGCTTCTTTTGTTATAACCGTTGACCCAGTAGCATATTTTTCCAGCATTATATTAAAGAACGCGCACGTGAGCGAATCACCTTTTCTAAAAATGTCTGGTATTGACGGCATGAAGGAGTTCCCTATTTTTCATTCTGCATAACCGTATTGTCTCCGTCTCTAAACCAGTTAAATTCTAAAGTAGATTGGTATGGCTAAAACCATGTAACGAAAGCAGCAGTATTGTAGCCGAAAGTTTAATATCCGGCTTATAAAATTACTTATTATTTCCCCTCTGCATCCGGTCGGAACATGTCAGGAATAAACAAAAAATCTATTTAACCACCATACATCCTCAGATATTTTTTAGAATATTTGTTTAATTTCTCCTCTCTGATTTTCTTTCTCTCGACATTATTGCTAGATTTAATCTCTAATATCAGAGGAATCACAAGATTTTGTCCAAAACGAGGATATTCTTTAAATTTTCTTAAGTTTGTTCATGAACCCAAAATTTACAGAGGTGCAACTGGAGTAGATAATCATCCATAAAGACATTCGATTAGCATCGTTTTCTGACACTCATGAGTTCTTGGCAGTCCCACAAGGGCGAATCAGCTGTTAACTTAGGTTAATACCAGCTTGGAAATGAAAACGCAGAATTGAGAGTTTACAACAAGGTCCATCTTTGGTTCATCAGTTTTCAAACCAAAGCTTGTGTACTTCAGGATTCAAAACAAAATTCATGAAATAGAATTTGAATGTTGCTTAGTATGAGAAACAAGGGAGGGAGAGATGATATCATGCTCACGCATTTGTTGAAAGACGAGATGAAAGATGAGACCACTCACCTTCACGACTCAGCGCAGTCTGTAAAAACAGACGACTGATGTTCCATAAGTTCAATAATTTTGTAAATCTATTCAAATATATTATATTTTTATGGCTTATATCAGGCATTGGTTGAACTCCAAATTTCCAAAATTGAAACTGTTCTTCCGAATCCGGACGAAAAACCCGGTTTTAATTTTCTAGGAAGAGTTGAAATACGCATAATATCTTGGTCGAAACATACGCTGCTTTCGACTGATGAGATCAGAACCACTTGGAGCTTATATAAATGGGTCACGATTCTCTATTCTGTATTCAAAAATAATGATGAAGTAAAAAATTTCAGTCTATCAGTATCACCATTTTTAAATGCCTTTCTACCTTTTTTCTAATTTTCACAGATTTCATCTACTCTTACTCTACCCTAAATATGAAAATCATCAAATTTTCGTCCCTGATAATATTTTATATTAATTCTGAATTCCAAATTTCCAGTGATCTATAAAAATATTATTACACATCGTATATATCGAATTCCGACTTATGGTCAACCACGAAGTCGTTAGGAACAGAATTCATACATATATCACACCTTTATACAGGGAGAACAGATTTCGCTTTACTGCAGCGACATCTGCCGTACACAGCTACCAATGCTGATTATGGTTCGCGTATTTGCTAATGCAAGCATACAACAATCTGGTTATGTACTTGGATTGGGATAAATGGCAAGAGTCCGAGGAAAGTTAATGATGGGAAAGATGTTGAAAGTTGAAAGATTGAAAAGTTTATAAAGGATAATGACTCGCATGAATACAAACAGTGACTGCGATTATATGAGAGAAGGACTTTTAGGGGCCTGCTTTTTAGTTTCACTAGACGTCAGATAATAACAGGTTTGGAAGCCTTTATCAGAATCATGTAACGCTCAGCGGTTCGACCCATATGGAGGAATAGGGAAGAAATATTCGATAGATAAGCGCCTGCTCCACTTTCTGTAAGACTTTTTATAGCTTTTGGAGAAGGATGTACCTAAAGGCAAACCCTAAAGACCAAAATCAGGCAATGCTGCTGCTGTGTTAGTCCGTTCCTGCAACTTAGATCCGATAATATTGGTATCTTAAAAGATTGCTGGGATATGCTTGAAATTGTAATGAAAGTTCTTTCGGGCGAAGAAAAAAGCTACTGTTGAAATGGTTATTTACTCCTATAATATTGATACCTGAAAACACTCCAATATATGCATATATAATCTTTGCATAAAAACTAGACGATTTATTATTATATAATATACATATAGACAAGTTTAGATTACAATATACTTTTTGTACATACACGACTCGAAACAACATATTTACACTCTAACAATAACAAAAACTATAATAATAACTAATATGATGATAACTGACATTGCGGACGATCTTGAGCAAAAATTGCTCTGAAATGCTTAGAAGCCCGACATGGGCACGGCGCTGTCTGTCATCTCATCATCATCGCTACTGCTGCAAAAATATATACGTTTTTTGTTGTAAAAAGTTTAAAATTTAAAAAAATATTTAATACAATTTATTTGTATGATAACTCCTCGCTTAACCTTAGAGAAGGCGCTCTATGAGTTTGCATTGCATTTTACTCATATAATTTTTTAAACGCAAAAATGTCTATGTTCTATGTTATTGCACCACTGTTAAGCTCTGTGTACCTTCGCTAAAAGTTGTGTTCCACTTGTTCGCAATAATCATCACAGCCGATGCACCACAATGAATTACGAGTAAAGCAAGAACAAACCCACATACAATGGTTGAATATGTCGAAAACAATCTTCTGGTTTCCTATATTCCAATGAAGAAAAATTAAAAAGCCATACTGATGCTTTCATCACTTCATGCAGATGCCCGGTTTAATAATGAGTCCGTTGATAACACCAAGTCCGAAGTAAAATGCAATGTTTTATAATAGAACGAAGAAAAGAGTAGATACTGTCGTCCAAATTAAAGGAACGTACTCAGTTATCCGTAAAACTTGACACTGAGACTATTTTTTACTATGCTTGACATAGCTGGTATAAATGCATAGATAATTTTTAAGAGAAATACGCAGAACTTAACTCAGAGGAGGCCTTTCTTGAAAGAGGTGGCTCTGGAGCTGATAAAGCCACATATCATAAAGCGGCAAGCCATTTAAACTTTACCAAAACATCTAAAAGATACGTTGGAACGCATTGAACCAGGTTTTGATTCACCAAACCAGCCCGAAGAAAACGGCTTTTGTGATTTCTGTCCCAGAAGGAAAAATAGACGCAAATTACTCTGTGCTGAACATTTAAAGTCTACATGTCCTACTTGTTTCGACAGGAAAATTAATGAAGATTTCTCAGAATAATGATATACAGATATTTATACTTATAATACAATTTTTTTTATAATCTCCAGAACAAATTTGAATTTTTTTCTAATTTTTAAACAAATGTACAATTTACCTTATTATATAACTCTAATTTCTGCCAAATAATAAACATTTTTAAAGCTTAAGGCTCAATAATCGTATTTAGATCAAATTAAAACATGCAACGCTTTAAAGTTAAATATAAAAATTACGAAATATTTTTAGTACGTGAGCAAAATGTTCCCGCGCGATAATCCATACCACTTTGCGGAGCGCGCCTTCTCTAGGGTTAACACTGTAATATAGTGGTAGACACTAGTTTCGAGCTTACCATCACTATTTGCATTACCACATAGTAGTATTTCCAATCCAGGGACCTACCACATTTTCGTGGTATAGTTTGTGGTAACACAAAGGGTAATCTATCACTAAAAAGTATCGTTAAACTTACACATCATCCTCGATGCGTCGTAAAAAGTTTTGTACCTCCTGATTTTGACCAATTAAAGCATACAATGCGCCGAAGCCATGAAAAACGATGAACAAACAGACGGCATAGTTGATGTGCGTCCAGTCTTCGCGATAGTAATTTATGGCGAACGAAGTGACACAAACCAGAAAGACGACAAAGGTATAGCTGAAGAACTTAAAGAACGATTTGAAGCTGTGAGGAGGAGTGAAAATATTGAGTGGTTAAATAGTAAATGGGCTTAGAGGATATCACTTTAATCTAACATATAATATATGTATGTTATAAATACCGATTCTCGTCGAGCGTTTCTGCTTTATAGATATTATAATCCTGTCCCTCACTGTTATGGATCAATGTTAGTATATAGAAAAATATGCAGATAACACAAGCGATGAAAATGGGCGCGTAATAGTAGACCATGATGGACCAGTTGCGTGCTGAAAGAATTTTGGTAGAAACTTAATTTAGAAAATCAAGAAAAATCGGTAACTTTAGAAGCTATAACAGCCTTCACCGGTGCATTTCTTATAGCTAAGCGTAAAAGGGTGTACAAATAACTTTAGCTTGATTTTGTTTGGTCAATTTGTATGGCAGTTTTATGCCATATTGGTCTTGTCCATATGCTATCTTGGTTCGATGTCGGCGATTCCAACAAATAATAAGCTTTTGGGGAGAAAAAAAAAATTTCAGATCGTTATCTCAAAACATAAGGGATTTGTTCGCGTATATACAAATGAACAGACGGATAGATAGACGGACATGACTAAATCGACGCAGCTCCTTACGCTGGGTATTCACATATATATTGATCTTCTTTATGTTCGCCCTTACATTGTTATCTATCTCAACATCTTTCTTAACCGGCCCGACATCTACTCCCTGCATGTTCCGGCGCCAACCACCCTCTTTCAATGTAACTTGAAACCTTCTCTCCCAGATAAAACGAGAGAGTGTGTGGTCTATTTTATTCACCAACACTCTGTTTAATGAACTAGAAGGTTCTTGGCGTGAATTCATCTAAAGTCGTGAATCTGATTTTGTTGCAGAGCTTTACACTGGAATGTCGATTGATAGTAGGATAAGTAACCTTTCTAGGGAAGGAGTGGTTTTTAGCGCTCCCGTTATGCCTGGAACGCTTGTCTTGGAACTTACCCATCACTATAAAAGATATGTGGTTTGCAAACGTTATCAGTTTGGGTGCTCTTCTCTCAAAATTTTTCAGAAGCTCATTAGCTACAAGGGATCACAGTGTTGGGGACAGTACATGCTAATCTGATCTTCGTTCTAATCCCCATTAATCATCCTGCAGTTCAGTAGAGCTTTTAGTCATGTTATGTTGGCGAACTCTAACCGGGTTGTTTCCAGATTGTTAACGATTGCGAGATTGGAGATATTGTTGAATGCTCCAATTGCGTCAAGAAAATTTCTTAGAGCGTATTCCTTATGCTCTAGAGTTTTCTCTATATTTAGGTTTGGGAGTGAAGTGTAGTGTCAGTGGATCTACTCTTCGTATAGGCGTGCTATCGTTTCAATATATTAGCCAATAAAAGCTGGCTTAATTATGTCATGTTTTAATAAAATTTGCTGAAAATATTTCGCTTGCTACTTGTTTATCATAACTTTAGGCATAAACCAAAATTTATTTTCATATTCCCCTGACTCTTATATAATGAATTTACTGGTTTTCGTCTGTCCAAAAGACTTTAGAGGCAATGTTGATATCAGAAAGCAACTTGTCCTTCTTTTCAAATAATATTTTTCTTTTTTTATAACTTGACTAAATAACCGAAAGCAATTTTCGTTCTCAACTTACGATCGAACCAACAGGTGTCGCCGCCACCAAATATAGCCTTTCCACCATAGTCATTGTTTGCTGCGAATATCGACCAACCGACGGTCAACAGGGCGATCGGAAAGAATATAAGCCAAAACATTAGTCGCGACATGATAATACCATGGAAATGCATATAAAAGTTGAAACTGATCAAGCTCAGTATATAGAAGGATAGGACCAAGTAGATGACCACACAGGCGGCTGAAAATGAGGAAAAATTTAAATTATATTAAAAACAAAAATTAATATTATATTTAAAATACAAATCTTCAAACTTACGCAAATTGACGCAGGTCCACGTCATGAAATCTGCAGGATCGGTGAGGGTGAGATGCGCCATTATCGAATAACCGAAGATAATGCATAGTGTGTAGACCTTGATGGCAACGCCATAGAATGTATTGCGCAGATTACTGGCGAATAGATAGATAAAGAGGATGATAAACATGCAGATGACAGCCAGTATTAAACCTGTGGGCGAGTCAAATCACATAAATTAAAGCTAATCTAAACACAGAGGCTAAAGGAAACATAAAAACTAATTAATATAATCGTATTTTTAGAAAAATTAGTTATGTGCTTTTTTGAACAATAAATAACATAAAAATAGATATAATATAATATATTCATACCTAACTTTACCTTTCGGTCCTTCAAATATTTATTTGAAGCGATATTTTCTTAAATGCCGTCGTATTAGAGTGATCCCTCAAACATTTTAGTTTTAACAGAAAATTAAGGTCATTGAGCTCAAGTGTATCATAATCGACAATCAGTTCAGAGAGCACTCTGACTTTTGTCGGCCTTAATATTTTAAGCTTCGTTGAATTTACCTAAACATGCATACTCTTATAATGATCTCAATTAGAGAAAGGCGCATTTACAATTGAAGACAAAGGAGACTCTAGCCTTTATTAGAATTGTTAGTAAATAATTTCTTAGACAAATCGCGCCGAATTCACGTCTTCGCCGAAGTTAACTTTCGAAATAATATTGGAGCTCTGTAAAATCTGATAATATTATAGACTAAAATGTAAATTAAAACTAACAAGATTATCTAGGAAAGATGCGCTGATCACATAAAGGCACTTTGTGAATGTAGAAGTTGCCAAATTTCTAAAATTAATTTTAAAAAAAATCCGAAATGGATACAAGAACGAGTCTTTAAATAAGAAACGATCAAATAAATATTGTGAATAGGATTGCCACCTGTTTACAAAATGAAACATTTTGCATTATCAAATAAGACAGTTTTCAGCTAGCGAGAAAGCCTATATGAGTTAGATTTTGTGTCAAAAAAATATATTGGTTTTCTTCTTTCAATAAGGGTTGCCAACTTTCGAAACATAGGTAAGTAATTGCCAATTTTAACATCACATGTAAGTAATTGGGAAATTGCTATAAGTTAGAAAAACATTTTATTTGATACATATTAAGATAGATATTTGCTTAGAGTTGCCACCTATTTCAAAAACTACATTTACTTTGCACCCTAAAACATTATAAAAAGTGTTGATACAGTTAAAAGCTAACGTTGCATTTGTTGTTAAAGAAATCTGTTAAGAAAAGTTTTTTTCAGTTAGGGTTGCCAACTTTCACAATATAGCTAAGTAATTGGGATGTGGTTATGAGTAAGAACGTTTTGTGCCAACGAAACAAGTTGGAACAAGTTATTTTCGGTTAGGACTGCCAATTACTTAAAAAAAATAAATATCTATTCAGAGTTGCCACCTGTTTAAAAATGTAGTTTTTTAAAATTGATTAAATCGAATACCAAATTTTTCGAGAAAATATTTAAAACAAAAAAAAAATATTTTAAATGCTTATATGTTTTTAAAGGGTTGCCACATTCAAAATTGCTTTATGTAATTTTTCGAGAAAATATTTAAAACAAAAAAAATATTTTAAACGCTTATATGTTTTTAAAGGGTTGCCACGTTCTAAAATTCCATTATGTGAAGCGCTATACTCATATGGCTATACAATTGATATATTTTTCTATTCGCACCACCTTAATGTGCAATTAATAACACATTACGCCCATTTAACACAAATCAATACCGCTCCCATTCCACTGCAATTACACGCTGCAAATATCGACATACATACATGTCTACACAAATTTATATGGCGCGCAATAAATAATGAGAAAACTCACATGGTTTGTTGCTTACTTTGGCATATAAAATTTGCGTTTTCTTCAAAAACAAAATCAATAAACTTTGTTTACGTTTAATCGGTTGTTACAATTTGTAGCAAATCGATTTGTTGTAGTTATTACTATATTTGCTTTGAACAATATGCAATTTATTGGATCAACAGCAAATAACAGTTAGCAAATGGGCGAGCTATTTGCAATTATTAAATCAAAATACAAACACAAACACATACATATACAAAGTACAAATGTATGTGCGTATAATTCGCGATAAAATATTGTTGTGGCATCTATAAAAGAAAATAATTACAAATTCACACGTGGCACGAAAATATGATCATGTGCGTAAACCAAATTGACCATCCACACTCGTACATACATGTATTATATATACATACATATAATACAGAAATTGCCTCGACTTAAATACATATTTATGTATTTATCATAAATATTTTTTTAAGTTCTAAATATAGCAATGGAATTTGATGAACATCTTATTAAAATTAGGTATTTTTGGCAGCAATCGGCTATAAAAAACTAAAAGCATTTGCAAAAATAACTTTATCTTAAGTGCTAAAAGTTAGCGGTTCTCCTTAATTTCGTATAAAAGAGCACGTAGACATCGACGCTGGTGGGCGTCTTATTTTAATAGCTGTCAGCTCATTATATATGCATTTACAAGAAGGATATAAGCTGATTATAAATTTTGGAGACTTGGACTTGGATTTTTTTTCCTATCAAACATTGTAATATTTTTTTTTATTTCATCCTGTTATTTTTAAGTTTGCAAACTTTGTTTATGTAAACCTTTTAAACAACAACAATTTTGTTAATGAAATAAATTTCTTAAAAACTTTAAACTTGTGGCAACCCATTTCAAAACATATTTAAAATTTTTTTAAACAAATTTAGCTTGATAACCCTATTAATATGTTTTTTTTTTTTGTTTTTTTTGCAAATATTTATAAAATAATTTTTTGAAACAGCTGTTAACCTTTGCAAAAACACCTCCGTCAGTAATTTTTCTCAAACTTCTTTTATTTGTTGTCCAATCAAATATTACTAATTTATTTGATCAATTTAATTGAATACAAAATATTAAACATGTGACAACTCCTAGAAAAATATGTTCATCTGTAAGTTTTTTTTAAATTTTTCTGATATCTATTTTGTGCTACTTCATTTATGTAAATAATTTCGTAAAATTAAAATTCGTTGACAAGTGGCAACTCATCGACCACAAACAAATGTTTAAAACTTTTTTATACCGATTTAGTTTTACCGGCTATTATAATGTTTTATTTATTTATTTTTTTTTAATACAATATTTTTGAAATATTTTTTTAATACAATGGGCAATCCTTCTCACAATACCTCCGCCAGAAATTGTTTTCAAAACTTTGTTGCCCATATAGCAATATATCAATTATTTAATCATATTAATAAGTTAAGAAAGTGTAAACATATGGCAACTCTTACAAAAATATGATTATCTGTATGCATTTAAAAATTTTTTGATATCAATTTGCTAGTACTTCCTTTATGTCACCAAATTTTTCGCATTAAATTCTTTAACAAGTGGCAACATTTATCGAAATATATTTTAACTGTTAGTTTTCATTAGCCTCTTAAATTTTATATCCATATAATATCTTATATATTTTATATATATATATATATCTTATATATTTTTCCAAATAACCATCAACCATCTATCTTAAGCCGCCCAAGTAGATACTACTAGTGGTGATCGATTTTACTACTGGGCGTAAAGACGTTCTTCCAGAAAATAAATTGTAAAGTGCCTCGGAAATTTCCTACAGCTCACTCGATATCCACATTTCTACTCGCTTCTTAAGTGAAATATTCGACTTTAGAAGTAGGTCTACCAATTAATCGTTTTTGTTAAGTTGTACACAGCTATAGTACTATACATTTATTTGAAAAAGGTATATTAAGTTCCATATCTCTTTTTAATATTGGCCTCGATATTTTTCGACAATTTCATGATCGATTTTTCACTTTAACAAGAATTATATTAGGAGGTGGGTTATTATGAATCTCTGTCTATCTGACCAGCTATACCTAAAGACTTAACAATAGGTATGGGAAGTTATCTACTATTACTTTGATGATGCTAATCTGCCGATAAAATAAAGGTATTCTCTATGGCATGTACTTATATCTACTATTTTCACAAAAGTAAGAAGGTAATCCCGATTGAAATGCCTATTTAGCTGTTGTTACCCGTCAGTTTTGGTTATTAATTTTACACGACCTTTCTAGAAAAATAAAGTTTGTTTATGTTCATTTTTGTGGTTTTAAGTGTAACAAAATTTTCATTCATCCAATAATGTAAATTTTACTTTCACTTACAAATTGCGTAGGTCCACTCCTTGGTTGTCAGAACGAAGGGTAATTTTTCGCGTACACAAGCCAAAGGTTGCCACTCCCATGTAATTTTGTCCAATTGATGCGGTGTATAGCAATAATAGTTCGAAAATAAATAATTTCGATGTGCAATGGAACCATTCTGGAATTTAAAATAATAAAACGATTTAAGCTTGAGAATTTGTAATAGTTACTCGACGAAAAAAAATCATTTTAGCATCTTCCAAGACAATTCAACAGAGTTGCCATTGAGGTATACCAACAATGATGATCTTCAAAATTTCCGATATCATTTTTATACTCTAGCAACACACAGCGTGTAATCGTTTTGCTCACTTAACTATTGTTTGTAACACCTAAATCTAACTGTGGTGGATATATATATACATGTATTGTGTATACCATGTATGTATATATATAGGTATATATGTAAGTGTTCAGGATGATGAGAGCATTTGAATTCTGTTTGTTCGTGCAAGCGATATCTTGATGTTATTTGGTACAGCTGTTCCTTGGCACCCGATTAAAGTTGATATTGCAGATAGGATAAATCGAACCACTGCCACGCCTACAATATGCCGTTAAACGAAAATTAAAATGCGTTAAAATGCTATAACTAAACTCTAAATAACATACAAAACTGACATTTACTACAAGGGATCGCAGTGGAAAGGGGCATCAACGTTAACTTATATTATAGGGACAGAAACTTTAAAAAAAGTAGGCGTGACTCCGCCTCCTAATAGCTTTAATGTACATGTCTTAAAAACCACTAAAGTTAAATTAACCAAACTTTCTGAAAACACATCCCACCAACACTTCCTCTGTTGTATCAAAACGGATGATAATAACGCGCACTCCCCATATAACGGTTATGTGGAAAACTACTAAATGAGCGATAATTTATTTACACAATATTATCTTGACATTTTTATGTTTAATTGTGAAATTGGGCAAAATCGAACTACACCACGCCAACTTCCCATACATCACAATTTTTAATTTTTTGTGGTTCCTTCACTTTACAGAACATATATCATGCACCAATGAAGATATCGAACATAAAGTTAGCACTATAGTGGCTTTGACGCTTATTATCTCGCGCCTAAAATTTCGTCGAAAGCGGATCACAACTAAAATAGAAATTCAGAAACAAATTTTTTCCCGATAATAATGTGACCTTGTGTCGAAAATGTGTGAAATTGGCTCAATCCTTCCCCTGGCCTCCATTTTTCTAATAATAAAATGTTGAACTTACGATGAAGTTTATACAATTATACCAGTCAATATGTATGCCGTAATGCCTAGAATTTTTCAAATATTTATCAAACTATTCAAATACATAAAAATCATATACAATATCTCTAAAACGGCATTTTGATATATGGTATATGTATGTGCTTCGAGGGTCAGCTATCTTGGTAAACTTCAGTTTAACTTCATCTAAAATCATTTTAGGGATATTTTTTTTGTTTTCGTCCGGAGCACTTTCATTTGGAAACTCACTGAACTCATCAACATAGAGCCATATTTTGGTATCAATAAAATATTTTTTAACCAAAAACTATCGTTTCATCAATACTAGGAATTCCTTTTTATGAGTTTTATATGTCAGGTATATTAATAATGGCAGTTACCCCGATACATTGTAAATTCTTCAATTATTTCTATTAAGTTTTCCCATACCAATTTTTAAAGCCACAGAAATTCTTTCTTAAAAAAAATTTGTAATTAAAAAATAAATGACAACTGCCCCAGCCAGCCTGACGATACTTTATAGAGTTATTGTGTATAAATACAATGTACAACTAGTTTGCAGAAAGGAATGACTAAGCCGTTGTTTAGAAGACTCACCCTGTAAATATTTCTGTAATCGTTTTGGTACATGTCTCTGCTAAAATCTGCGTAAAGCGCCTAAATATAGGCAATATTCCACTATAAATTTTCATTGCTTCCAATGCTTGACGAGCAGTGGAGAAATTTTAGATGATAGAGAGTAACATGGATCCAATAAGGACTGTCCACACCGTTTCATGAGCAAAAATAGCCCAAATTATCAATTTTCTTGGGCTAGCAAGTACTCTGATTGAGTAACTTTGAGTATTTAAGATTTTTTTTATGAAATCATGCGTAACATGTCAATGAACTTTACCTCAAATAGCGTCCAATGCACCAGTTGATTGTCCCTAAGAACGTAACGCATTCGCGCGCACGGCACACCAATATTTACATTAAAATGATGCGCAGTACGCACCAAGCGTGTGCTGCCGTTGTTGTGCCGCACCGCCACTTCGTGATGATCCATGCCTGTTAGCGCGAATACAAGACTGTGTTGCTGTTGTTGTTGCTGTTGCTGCTGCTGCTGCGTAGCATTCACCACTTCAGCATCGATGACACTAGCAATCGAAACGCATGATTTACTCAGCGTATCATAGTAGTGACCTTCGGCGCAACAGAAGCGTATGCACGGTTTCAGCTTACAAATGCAAGCGCGCATGTGGCGCTCCACCGGCACGCGTACGCCATCTTTAATGATGAATGTGTAGGCGGCAACTAGCTCGGGTGGTATGTAGGTGATGCCGAGACTTTTTAGTAAGGCAGCGTTGTCGTTGCCGTTGTCGTTGTTGCTATTGATATCAGTGCTATTGCTGATGTCAATCTCGGTGATGTTATTGTTGTTGTCGTTTCTACTAATGTTGTTGCTGCTGTCGCTGGTATTTTTGTTATTATTACTGCTACTGCTGTTATTACTATTGCTGCTGCTGTCGATATTTTTGTTATTGCTGCTTGTGCTATTACCCTCTGCCGTCGCATTAGGTTGCTCATACGCCCAGGCTATGCCCGTCACATTAATAGTATCGACGAAGGCGCAATGATATTTCGTATCCGCCGCAGCACCACTAGCAGCTGCCGTTACGCTGCTGAAACAACAACAACTGCTAATAATTATGATGAAAGCAGCCATTAGCGCCCATGAGTATTGTGTTGTTGCCACATCAAAACGAACATCTTTAATTGCTTTCTCTAATGTTGGCGCGCACATTTGGTGCACGCCTTTATGTCGTTGCGCAGACATATTTTAAGATTTTTTATTTATATTTTGAAAACTTTTTTTGAATTTTATTCTTACTCTTTCCAATTAAATTTTTTTAGTTTTTTAGTTAAAAAAATTTTGTTATTTTTTTTCTGAATTATTTTTTTTTTTAGTTATATTCGTTGTTGTTTTTTAATAAATTTTTTTCAATATTTTTTCCGAACACACAGTTTTGTAATCATTTTTTTTCAATTAATTTTCTTTACAACAACTTTTTTTTCAAGTTTCTCCAATTACGAATTTTTCAAATATTTGTTTGTATTACTTTTTCCAAACACATTAGTCTTCAGCATATCTTTTGTTAATTTTTTAATTATAAATATTTTTTTTTTTAATAAATTTTATTTTATTTCACTTTTTTCGTTGAATTGTTTTGTTGCATAATTTTCTTTTGTTTTCCAATTAAAAATTTCTGAAAGACTTTTGTTTAGTTTTTCCAATCACACTAATAATATTAAGTTTTTTTTCATTAAATTTCCTATGAAAATTTATTGACTTATTTTAATTTTTCAATTTTTTTTTGTAAATTTTTTATATAATTATTTTGGGAATTGTTTATTCTTTCACAATTTGTGTTTTTTTATATTTATTAAAGATACACACGCACACACATGTGACTGCATGCCGACGCACTGAAATGATACATAAATCTTTATTGTTGTTGTTCGCTATTGCGTAGGCTATTTTTAGTTGGCGAATATTCTGTTTAGACGACCGCACATTTCAATTCCTACAACACAAATGATGCGATATTCTCCAGAAAACGTACAAAGAACCTGTGGGCGTCTTATGCGTTGTTCAAAAATTCACAACAACAAACAACGCCTCTTCTTAAGCAAAAAAATGCAAAAAAAAGTAGCGTAAATGAATTCGAGCAGCTCTCAAGGCGTTGAACAGATCACTGATTGTGTCTTGATGACTGCATTCATTCATCGCCCATGAATTATTCCATATATATATTCTATGGCAACGATGACGTTATTCACTGCGCCGCCTCAAGGATGCGCTTAACCCGCGACACTTGCATTCCAACACTTCACACCTTGGCCGGAAAGATAAGTGCGCTTTTGTGCGCATCTGGTGAAATGCCAATTCGTATAAGTATGTGTGTATATATGTATGTATGGTGTGTGTGTAAGTAGTAAAGTGCCGGTTCGGCTTTGCTACCGTTAATTGCTGTGGCCTTAGCGATGGTTATTCCTTCAATTGCCCGTGCCAATGTCCACTCGAACCGCGTGCTCGCGCTCAACTGCTGTCGAGCAGTAGTCCATTGGCATGACCGCTAGTCGGCGGTTGCCCACACACACCTTGCACGTTTTGAACAAGCACAAGTGACCCTGTCGGAAAGGTGTGTGGCATGTTGTGGGCGGCGAAATTGTTGTTTGCTGGTACTTTTGTATACAAAGCGAGCGAGTTCACGCTCTGCATGAGCACATGATTCACTGGACGTAGGGTTCGTTGTCCATTTGCTTAAGGTAAATAGCAGACGTGAAAGGCACTCACCTGATCGAAACTCATTAAATGCATTTGATTGATTAGCAAGATAGGACATTTACCCCTTCACAGATGGGACTATAAGTAAAAAAATTTTCTTAGAAACAACGCAAAGAGCCACTGTAATTGTTGGAAGATGAATGAATTAAAAAGCTTCTTCTGAAGACACCACATTTATACGAAATATAGATTAATGATAAAGTTATCAATGGACTTCTGGGGCGACTTGCGTTTACTAGATATTTGTTTAAACGATGTGCTAGGCAATGTTAAGACAATGCAATGCAACGAGCAGTTCACACGAAGGTTCACCAAAACGAATTTTGACATTCATGACATCATCCGATCAAATTTGACCTGGACTGGTTTAAGCCGCGCACGTAAACCTATTCCATAAATAATTTTTTCTTAGCTTGGCACAACATTTTTTAAGTTCGTGTTAAGTTTAATCACCATTTTGATTGAATTGATTTGATTGTTTGATTCCGACGCGAAACGTTTCTCTGGCGACTTTTACCATGAAAACAATTTAACAAGAAATTTTCTTGAAACTACGACTAGGAAAGAAATTGAAACGTTGCACACGTACTTTGGGAGTCTTCTTTATGACGAACACAAGTATATGAGTGGCGCAAAGCACTTAGTGAAACTCGTGACGTATTGAAAACTTACCTAATGTGAGTCTCGTCCATCCACCTCTGTTAAAGACTTATATTAAAATACATGAATTGTTTAGTCTTCCGAGTCAAATTTAATCAGATGGTATTTAATATTGCCTTCCTATTTACTCGCACCGATTTTTTCCCAAGAATTATATTCAATATCTTTGACAACCACCTACTGAACTTGGAGGTATATTTCTTCGCCTTTGGCATAAATATGTTGGATAAGTTTATTTCCATAAATATATTTCCGTTTTCTTCCAAAAATGTTTAATGCGCAGATTAGTTCTCTGAAATAATTAACTGGAGTCATCTGGATCTGTGCCTATTTTTGGAGCGCTAGAATATATGAATAATATTGAGCAATACTGTCGAATTGACGGTTCTTGGCTGGTCAAAAATCTGGTTCAGTTGAGGTTACGTAGATCCGACTTACATGAGGACGACTGGATCAGTCGAAGCAAAAGATACATAAATCGAGCTACGGGAACTTTACGATGAAGAATGGATAGAATGAGAGACTTCTTTTTAAAACTTGGTATTCTATTAGTTCCTACCGCAAACAATAGTTATGGAGTTTTAACTATACATGCTTCAGTGAGATGTGAATTTGAGTATTACCGCAATTACTCAATTATTGTAGTTAGTTCACTCTATAAAGAAGATGCCAAAGCAATTTCTTCTAATATATCATCGGTGGAAAAGAAAGGATTTTAGTCCTGTTTTCAACAAGTTAAAGACAAAATCTGAAGTGCCGTTAAATTAAAGTACATTATAAAATACTAAAAAAATTTGAAACTATACGTTAATTTGTTTTTTTCTTAATGGTTCTGCGTACTATGGAAAATATTTGGTAATAAATCATTCTTTCGGATATATCTAAAAAGGTTTGATATTAATTCAATATAATACTGAAAGCCATACGTATACATATATGCATTGCTCTTTTTATTCAAAGTTATCTTTTGTCAGAAGCATGTTTATCATGGCTTTTTTTGGCACATAACTTTTCCGGACCAGATCGGACTATTATTTTCTATTTTAATCAAGCTGTTTATTAGCGCGCCCGAATGTAGGCAACAATTTTAGTGGCGCTTGGACTCTATTGCGAATAGTATTAACGAGTGAGGCCCTTGAATGATTAATCATTTGTCGGAACCGTCAATATCAGATCGCTAGTGCAAGTTAAATGTTTTCATTTTGATTTTTTGTAATATATTTCCTACAGAGCACACAGATAAAGATACGCGAATTATCCAAATGTGTCTATGTACCAACGGCGTGTATATTTCTTTTGGATACAACATCCATAAATACATTTGTTTATAAATTTGCGCCGATTTGTATGAGCATACGTATCTATTCTTTCGATTGTATATGGCGGTGTTTATACGTGCTATGTTCTGCTTGGCGGCTGTCATGCCGTTGATACCGCACAGCAGGTAAATGGACTCCCATGGCATACGGCACAGTACTTGTATATGCCAGCTGAGAAAAGAAACATATTTACATGCAATTGTAAATGTATACATGGTGCCCAGCGGGAAAGTGAGAATAAAATAATTCAAAAAAAATTTCATTAAAATTATAAATAATATTTTTTTATCGTAATTTTAATTAAATTTCCTACAGGGCACTTTAGTAAAGTGTATACGAAATGATTAACTTGCAACTCTTTGCTTCCTCCTCTTTAATTTCCCATATTGTAGCGATGCAAGAAACTTTTAGTGCCACTACAGTGGCTACATTTCGCACACATACATACAAATAGTGCCACTCTGCAATTGTCCTTTTGTTTCAAGCGCTTCATTTAATTGTCCTCGTGTCTTCATATTTATTTATTTATTTATGTATAGTTTTATCACATATCCGCATGTTTATTTGTTTGTCTATTTGCTTTGCCAGTTGACACTCACACTGCCTTGAGGCGCTGCACTAATTTATTCACAGGACTCGCGGGAAGCATTCACCATCTGTTCGGTGGCAGAGTTTGTGGAAAGGTTACTATAGAAAACTGACTTACAATGGGTTAAAACATTAAACGGCATTGGCATTTTGTGATTACGCTGCGCTTCTCGGTGAAAAATTAAGAGGTTATCAATTCAAAATTGTTGTGCATAAAATATCATACATTTTCACTAACATATAACGATGGACGTCAGGTGGAAAGTCGGTTTTATTTGATTAGGAAAAGGTTAGGACTCATTGCGTTAACAGTACTCAAGTACTCAAGTATACTCATATTGACTGTAATTCATCTTTGAAATTAAATTATTGCAATATATGTGTATATATGCATATGGGAGCTAGGATATTTTGCTGTCCGATTTCACAAATTTTCGGCATTAAACTGTATATATTACAAGATACATATAATATACGTTGACTTAATTTTTTAAGGTTACATACTGACCGGTCCATAGTCAATCGGAAGTTTTAATATTCTTATATTAGGGCGCTAGGGGATATTCACCTGATTTATTCGGTATTTGGGGTAGTTCGAAGTTATCTTCCAATGTCGAAGATTTCGAGATACCTTAAGAACACTATTTGTTAATCCCGTTCATAGTTACTTGACTTTTAGGCTGGAAAGTTAAAGTATCAGAAAGAATTTTAAATTGTAGGTATGGGTGTTTTTCGCTTTCGCTCGCTTGAAATTGGTCAAATAGTTCCTGAGGCATAGGATTTCCCTTAAAGGTGGGTGGAGCTAATGGGTCCTATAGGATTCATATAGAATGTAGGCGGGTTATCATCCAATTACACCTATTTTCGCACTGCCAGAGGAGGTACCAAAAAGATTTTTCTGGACCAAATTTGCTTGAAATAGCTTTAGCGATTTGTGAGATATGCACAATTATTCTATTAGAAGGCGGGATCACGCCCACTTTTACAAACTTTTTAGCCCACATATGACCCTCTCTACTGTGTTCCATTGCACTAAATAGCAGTTTTATATCCTAATTTGTGGCTTAGTTATGGCATTTTATTGATTTTCGATTAACCGCATTTTGTGGGCATGGCAATAGTCCAATACAATCCATGTGCACTATCGATCTTCCTATGGTGCCAAGTAACATGTGTACTGACGGACGGACAGAGAGTCACTCTAAATTTAACTCGTCTCAACGTCTTGAATATATGCACATACAAGTACGTATGTATATATCTCGAATAGTTTTCGGTGTTACGAACAACAGCTAGGTGAACAATACTATTATAATCTGTGGCAACATGTTGAGATAGTATAAAAAATTTAAAACGCTCCTATCGATTTGTATCGATATATATATTGTATATTTATCTAAATATCGAATGTAATCGATATTATCTGACATAAAAAATTGGGCAGTATTGTTAATCAATAACATTGTGAGTAATTGAACTTTTTTATCATTAATCATGTTAATCCATGAAGCCATATAAATTAACAAATCGATACATTTTCAAACAAACAAGCTCTAATTTAATGACAGAAAGATATTCCTATACTACATATTAAGTTAAGTGTAACAATTTTTATTTGATGCCGTATATTAATCGATAACGTATATATTTTTTACCGATATTTAATACTTGTATTGTTGTACTCGAAGTTGAAAAAAATTAATTTTTCGAAGAAATAATTAGTTAGATTTTTTTATAAATATATGTATATTTTTTGCAAAATTATTCATATTTTCAAAACTTTCGAGGAATTTTATATTAAGTTTAAAGAAAATATGATTGATATATTTTTAAGGATCTATGAACATATATATGTACATATTAAGTTAAAAGTCCCTCCAATATTTGTATGATATGATATGTATTGGGTATTCTAAGGTACATTAAAATGTGATCAAAATATTTTATGCACATATTTTTTTTATATAAACATATTTATTTACCACCTTTTTAATTAAAAAAATATTTGAGATTTAAGTATGTCATGGATTCAAATTAATTTCACAAGTAGCTAAGCTCACTTCAGTCGAACGGTTTTCATTGCTAATATATATTGACTTCACTTATTTTAGGGCCAGATCTTCGTCCTTGATTTCATGTTTGTAGCCCTCTGTAGAAGGAAAATAAAAAAAAATATTTCTGTTATCCAATTTGATAAAAGTCGTAAATTTAACTTTACCTTTGAGTTTATCAGTCCTCTGTGTGTGATAAATTTGCGTTAAGTAGACGCCGTTTTCCGTTCTCTCTTCCACTCTGTAAGGCAAGTAAAATGTCCTAAATAAATATATTCTGAAGCTATTTTCTTTTCCACAGATTTTTTATATATTTATATATATGTTTGTTTTATATATATTATAATATATATAATGTTTATATATCAAACTTACACATTGACATGCCACCAGGCGCGCACCAAAGGATTTTTGTATAAGAGAAAGATAAGTCCCGCCACGGACAAGCCGAATATGCAAACTCCCGTTATGAAGTCAATTATATAATATTGTCCGCGCCAACGGAATGTCAGATAGACAAAGAGTTCGCGTAGCCATACGCATGTGACGCCCAGAAGATAACCAAAGAATGCAAAGAAACTAAAAAGTTGGAAAATATATGATTAATCCACAATAAAAATTTAAGTAATGTCATACAAGATTTGAACTGGAAGAAAGTTTTTCTGACATTTTGAAACTCTTACCTATATTTTTCGTTAAATTTCTTGGAAACTTAGGTGAAGGCATACAAACTTCGACCGGTTTTTGAACTCATAAGCGGTATACCATATATTGAAGAAAATATGTTGAAATTTTTGGAACAATCTCATCAAAACTACTTCCACAACATTTAGCATTGATAAAAAAGTAATGTCAACAACCAAAGCGCTAACCTTTACTATTTCATTGCCCTCTCTTGACCAGTTCTTCAAAGTACTCACTGCGATTTTATCAGCTTAATATCATAACCGGCCACATTTATCACATCTTCGGGCAAATTCCAAATGATTAAATAGGTCTTTAGATAAAGCAACATGCCTAGCGCCAAACAAATCAATATCGGTATGTAGAAGTACAAGAGAATGCCCCACAAGCGAACTTATTAGAATGAGAAACAACAAATAGTTATCAAAAAAATATTTAGAAGCTCCAAGTGCCTTCCATACCATCAAACCAACAAAAAGCATCGCCAATACCGGGTTTCAGCGGCTGATAAATATCGGAGTCTTGTATGAATTTCAGCAGGAATCTCAGACCCACCGCCAAACCGAAGGCAAACATGTAAATTAGCTTGCGCTTCCAGCTACTTAAACGTCTCGTCTTAAAGTTGTACCAGAAATTCCAGCTTATGATGGTCAGCAGAAAAAAGGAAAATATAAGGAAGACATAAGCAATAAAACCTGTAAGGAAAATTGTTATAGATAAAATTTCTAGGTTAGGTAGAGCGCACTGTTAAACTCACCAATATTACGACAAGCGGTTTCTGAGAGCTCCAAGCGTGAACGAAATGCCAGATATGTCAGCGCCGATAAACCAATAATTGTAGAAGCCAGGTGGAAGATGAGCGATTCACCATAACCTCCATTTCGCACCGCTTTAATCGAGACCAGCGTGAGCAGTATAAAGGCGTAAATTAGTATAGCGACGAATAAGCCTAGGGGCGCCAAAGTAAATAGTTAATAAGGAAATAGTATAGGGAAGAAGGCAACATACATATAACATAAATCCAGAGACGGAATCCATGTGCCGAACGCTCGCAAGTGAGCGGTACCAAGCTCCAGACTTTCTTGTGCTCCAACGGCGTTAGGCAATACTGATCTGTCTCCCAAATACGACCCAAACTGGAGAGAGAGCCATTCTGAAAATGTAAATTTTTTAGTAACATAGGATTTGATGAATATCACATTGTTATTTTATTGGATGTCTAAAAAACCAATTTTCACAATCGGATTTGCTATACTTATTAAATTTATAATGTTTGATAATATAAAGACATTTTTTCCGTATTGATCTAAAAGTACATCGTATGATAACACATCATGTGATTTTACAACATAAGATGTAGCTAAGTATCTCTACTTTTAACAAAAAACTTTTAGTTTTACATAAAAAATATGACTTTAAAATTTTATGTGACGTCACATTATCTTTATTCGTCAAAGTTCAATAACAGCTGTATTTTTATTTTGAACCTGGCATCTCATCAATTCATAAATTTGTTATTACTTTTGACATTAAGCGACAAAAACTTCTCTCATATGTAAACACATCACATCAATATCAGATATATCACATAGTATTTACAACTTTTATACTAAGCGATATCGCATCGTCAATTGCAATCAGTTCAGATATATCATATAATGAATTTATATATATTGTAATATTTGTGATTTTGAAACACATCATATCAATATCACATTGACTACCTATTTAAAAGAAAAGAGCATTATATTTTTATGTATTTAAGTGCCAGATATTATCTGCAAAACTAATATGATATCACATGGTTATAAGATTTATTTCGAAGTCATTTGTATATAAATTTATTTATAACAAAAATTTAAAAATAAATATTAGCGGATTATAAATTTTGTATTGAATACCTCATGACGTGATATCACATCATTACTTTGTATGTTATATTTTTCAGCTAGGATTTATGAAATTTTTTTTTGATCATTTTACAATGCTGTAATATGGTTGTGATATCAGATCACCAACAAAACTAATTACATCACATCACTCGCGGGATTTTTTTTCATACAATAAATGCACTTTTTCAATATTCTTAGCACAACCAACACTTCCTTACCGCATAGAGATCCCACTTCCAGAAGAGCGCATCGCTTTTATCTATATACTTGCGACTGCAACCCGTCTCGAAGCGCATCACGAACATATCACTTATATTGACCACCTTAACGCTGCTATTCACATCAGACACTTCGATATGCGTGTACTGTGCGCTTTGCTGTTGAGCGTTCAGCGTTGACGCATGTGGCAGGCAGGTGTGCTTGTATTCGTCGAACAATTGACCCGGCGGGCAGCAGAAGGTAATACAAGGCCGTTGGAGACAAGCGCAGCCGCGCGTATGGGATGGCGCATGGGAGAGAATACCATCGACTACCTTAAAGTTGTACTGTGCTGTCATATTTGCCGGTATGAGGAGACCAGCATATGAATAAGAGCCATCTTTGAGACGCAAACCGTCGCTTATGTTGACCGTTTGCGCGTAGGGGCAGGGGTAAGTGGGTGTCGCTGCCGCTAGCGGACGTACGCTCATAAAGAACGGCAACAGCAGCAACAACAGCACAGACAAAAGTTGCGATTTTAAGTTAGACGCGTTAAACATTGTGTTATTAATTAGCAACGGTAATTTGTTTCAATGCAATTCACGCTACACTACACAAATTTTAATAATTCCACACAAAGGTGATGTGGTAGTAATTAACGACTTGCCAATTGTTGAATGTTTAGTGCACAAAAAAATTTTTATTTTGCTAATCGCCAGCTTTTGCTACGACTAGCGTGCCGGTGACGTCACGTTGTCACGTATATTTTTGTAATTTTTTTAGAATTCTTTAATTTTTGTTTCAGTAATTAAAATTGGTATTACTTGTTGCTTTAATTTTATAGCATTTTTGGTGACTTGTTGCACACGCTCTTTCTTCATTCGTCGCCAGCACGTTCACTACCGCCACACACTAGACACAACAACACACGTTTTCGTTTGTACCCGTCGCGCGCGCTCTCCGTCGTCCACCAGCCACCAGCACCAGCTAGACATTCATCGGAATGGACACACACGTCCAAAGGGGTCCAGAAATCAAAACAAACTGCCAGCAATTGCGTTAGCGACGCGCTAGCAACCGCTCACAAATGCTCATTCTAAGTAATGATACACACGCGCGCGCTCACCTATATATATATGTGCGAGTGTATGTGAGTATGCGCGTGCGACTATACTACCCGCTCGCTAGATACCTTGGCCTTCATGAGCCAACAAAGATTTCCAAAAAAATAAAAAAATTCTAAAATTTTGGAAAATAGCTTGAAGCTTGAAAAGCTCGCCGCCGGCATAGTGGCGTCTCAAACCAAAAGCTTGCAAAAGCTACTTCGGAAACTTAAAATAAAGTGATGGCGAATATATTGCTTTATTAAATCTATTGCCAAATCTTTTCAGAGCAATACCAAGAATGCAAAATAGCGTTTACTTGTTGAAAATGATCGCGCCAGTAGAGCTTTGAAAGTTTTGTGTATATAAAATATTTGAAAAATGGTTGTGAAAACTCTTCAATATCAAAATTTGCTCCATATTTCTAAGCAAATATTCTAAAGTGTAGACCTTTTGTAATTATGCTAAATCAAAGATTATACGGATGGCGTTAAGGTTGTGACAGTATCTTAATTGCCTTTGGTGTGGAAGCTGGGAGCTCCATAGATTCCACGCTATAGCGCAAGAGCACACCGAAGTAGCAATTCGTTCCTAATCTGAGGCAGTTATAAATCATCACTGAAGTTTTATATAGATTAATACCACAAATTCTAGCTATTCTAACATAAAAACCGTTTTCCTTTAAAAACAGTCACTATCGGACCTTTTAAATTAAGAAGAATGTTGCTTTTTTTACCTTTAGAATGCCAATATAATCTATAATAGACGCTACGTACAAATCATGAAATCTAAGCAAGCAAGCTTAAGTGGATATCTAAGAATCAATATGATAATCAGGGCTGTCTTTCTTATTATTGATATAATCTAAAGATAGCATCGGAGAACGAGTAGTTACAAGATTGTTGGACCTAAGAGACGAGCTCTCTCTCTCTCTCTTGCCGTTATAATATCTGGAATTGGTCTATAAATTGGTCTAAACCTCATATTCCTAATATAATGAATTCCGATCCTCCGGTTGACGTTTTCCACATCAACTAAATATAAGTATATTACGACGCGAACTAAAATAAAGTCTAAGTAAATGGTCTTCAATATAAGTCAGTAATGTTGAACTCTTTCGCTATTTGAAAGAATTTACCAGCCTTTGATCTTTTCAAGTTGCAAGAGTATTAAATGTTCGGTTACACTCGAACTTACCACTTCCTTACTTGTTTGATTTGAAATATTTATTTTCTTATCTAATTTTGACTTAATATTGGAAAAGGTTCCTATCCACGTTAAAATATCTGCTTTTTTAAAAGTCGGCGGGCTTTTTCATCGTTGAAATTTTTACTTTCAGATGCTATAAAAAGGTAAGTGTGGTGGCAAGTTTTCTCAGAAAATGAAAACAGAGACCCCACTAAACGATCCATTTTCAAACGCTTCAGCCCTGGTCTACACCAAACACCCAACTATTGTACCTTAAGTGAGTTCGTCATTGTGCTTATGATTATAAATGTGATCATTAAATGAGCAATTAATCATTATCTCTTTGGTGTTTTTTACACTTTTATTCAAATCAAAAATATTTATATTAATTAACAATTCATACTTAATAAGTGAAAGTTTTATGTAAATAATTTATTAAAAAAATTATAAAAAAATATTCAATAATAAAAATATTAAATTAAAAAAAAAAAAATATTAAATATATGTACTTGTATATAGTATTTTAAAAAAAAAAAAAGGAATGAAGCAAAGGATGATCAAGATTTTCTTATTTAACTATGACTCTGCGCATGTGCATACACATAAGCCCATTAACATACAAATGGAGTGTAATTAAATACATTTTACTGTTATGACGTTATATGAATAAGAAATATTTTACATATTTTAAGTTTAAAAGGCACATACATACAAGCTCTTATAACGATTTTCGTATTGTTTTTTCTTTTCCAGGTAAGATTGCTTCTAAAAATTACTGAAACTTTTCTTGCACTGTGTGTCATAAATGACAAAAATTGTGCATACTTACAGATTTTGGTAAGTCAATTTTACTGATACCAACACGCCTATTATGTATGATTGTTATTGTGAGTTTAGTAGCCGCTAGCCAGTCTTGCATCTAACTTTTTATTTTGCGAGTTCAGTTGATGGGGAAAAAGTGAAGGCTGACAGTTAGCACATCTGTAGATTTAAACCGTTAAAGAAATTTGACTATTAACTGAGCGTTCTTTTGCTACACGCTTCTAAATAAAAAATAACCTATGTATGCAAATTCGTGGCAAGCTCTAGGCGCTTTGTCTATATAACGGATTTAATTAAGAAGCTTTTCAACCGGTCAATGGTGACTAAAACCCTCGAATCTGAAACGCTACCCAACGAAAGAGTTTTTTTGTTTTTTAAAGAAAATTCCACAAACAAATATATTCTACGAAAAGCTTTTTAGACGTCATTAATTACGAATAAAATTTTTGTTTCTGAGCTCTACGAATTACTAAGCATTTTTGAAAATAAAAATAATTTGAGGTTATGTTGAACTGTTATTGACGTGAACAGGCTAATTCAGGCAAATTAAAATTTTTTTATCGCATTAACGTTCGAAGAAATTTTGAATCAAACAATTTTTGTGAAATAACGGTATATTTAATAAATAAGTATTTCATAGATTAACTGGTAGTAATACACAAATAAATATTCTTTTTTTTTCGTGAGACGATTTTGAGACAAATGTTCAAAAATTTCCACTTAAATTTCTTTGATTAAATGTAAATTTAAAAATAAAAACTAAGAACAAAACATTGCAAGTTGCAAATAACTCATTAATGCTTTGTTTTACATATACATTTTTTTATTCTTTTAATAATATGTGCTTTTTTTATTACTATTTCATAATACCATTTTTTCGATTTTTTTTTTAAATATTATTTTTTTACTTTATTAATTTATTTTTTAATAAAAGAAAAATTAAAAAATTAAAAATATTTCATTTATTGTATATAATTTTAAATATATTTTTCATTAGAAACAAATTTTTTAATAAACTTAATACCAATTTTTGATCTTTGAAATTTTTAACTAACCACCGCTGTGACCCCTTGCAGCCTTTAGCATTTAAGAATTTAAATATAAACTCACAACTTAGTTATCTTAAGTACAGTTAGTTATTTTTATTTCATTGTTCTTATGTGCATGCGCGTGTTTATATGCGTTTATATGTATTACAGTATTTATGTACATATATATGTATGTCTTTTATATTTGTTTTATATGGCTCGCTAATTTCATATATATATAGATATATTTTAAAGCAAACTAAATAATTAAATGAATTACTTAGATACATATGGTACAACAAAAATATGACACTTTCACAAAAGCTGTTTCTTACTTTACATACATAAAGATGTAAATTAATATTAAAAGTAGTTAAGTGCTATGCTTTATAACTTAAAACCTACGTCTCAGGCTCATCTTCGTGCTAAATATGATTTGTGATTTTTGTTTTAATTTATTTTCAATTTTTTTTTGCGGCTGCCAGTGATTTTTCTATACTCCACCTCTGCACATTTTTAAGACTTTAACATTTTCCACGTTGTTTTACCTCACACAAATTGTCCGCCTCTCTCAATATTCAACAACAGGCTTGAAAGTATTTTTCAATTCAATCCATTTCAATTTCTTTAATCAATTTCATTTGACTTGTATCTATTTCGTTTAAATCACTTCATTTTCATTCATTTCATCTTTGCAATTTAATTTCTCAAACTTGTCGTCCGTTCGGTTGGCAACATTAGCGGCCTCTCAGCGGGCCCAGCAGCCGAGAGCGTTAAATTGCCAACACTGCTGGACGTTGTCTTCGTTGAGTACTGGCTCTGACGCTGGTTGCTGCTGTCACGTGTAGACGAATAGCTGATTTTAGGAATGAAAATTAAAGAAAAATTATTTGCAATTAATTTATTTTACTCGAATATTTTGTTTTTTATTAACACATAAACACACATATAAATATAAAGCAGCTAACCATAAATCAATTAAGCAACCGAATTTCCAAGCTACACATACAACATATTACACATATACATACATATGCTACAAATACATACATATAAGTATACATATATAAATATATTAAAAAAATATTATTAAATATAATATATTAAAGTAAAAGTGTTTTTGTGCGCGAGGACGTATACGCAACATTTTATAGACTGCAAAGCTTTTACAATTAACTTTTAATTGATTGCTCGCCGCTGCGTGTGTCGGATATTTTTACGTTTTTTAGGCGTCAAAATAGTCTAAAGCAATAATACATACTGCAAATATTGTGTATATAAATTTATATATGTGACTAAAGCAGCAATTTGCTGTGTATTTGCTCAAAATATATAAATAATGCTTAATAATTTAGCGCTGTTTTAGAAATATATAAATAAATTATTGTCTTATTTTTACAAAATCGCAGATTTTCTCTCATTCACCTTTCTCTTGCTATAATATCTTACCAATGAAGCATTATTCAGGTTCTGAAAAAAAAATTATTATTATCGCAGAGGGTTAATACCTCCAGGTTATGGTGAAGGCAATCTATATAAAAAATACTTTCCTATTTATCTCTTTTTCTATAAGTTTTTACTTTAATATTTTCCAAAATATGTATTATTTACCGACGATTATTTTCGCTGGTTTTGTTGAACAATATGAGGTGGTATACCTCTTCAATAAAAATCAAGCGAAAAATTCGGCTCCTTGATCTTGTTGCAAATACATGGGTCTTGTTACTTTGTACTTTGTTGAAGATTTTTTAGAGATTCTTCTGTGCCAATGGTAAATTCTCTGGTGGCGAGATGTTGGTTTTTGAATATGACGTCGAAATCAAAAATCTAGCGCATGGAGTTTCAAAAATGAGCCGTAACTAATATTAGTTGAAGACACTGAAGTCCAACACTCCCAAAATAATCCGGAGAATTGGATTAAGTTTATATTTGCTCAAGAGTCAATTTTGAAGGTGATAGAAATTCTTGTATGAAGAATCGTGAAAATATATATTGACGTTATGATTTATTATATTTACTCTCAATATTCATAGTCGCTAATTGAGCATCGGTAGATATCATATGCAAATAAAATTCTGGATGAACTTATCGGTATTGTCCCTATCGTTCATAATTCATATACGCTGTCTGAAACGACTTGTCGCTGTAGAGCTTATTGCCCACTCTTGGTACTCGATTTTGTGCAACAACTAGTCGAAAATTCCAAAATACTTGTACCATATTATTTGTATTTGGTAACTTGATCATTGTGGTTCGCGTTTGAATAAAAAGGGGTTGATGTACGCTAAGTACCTGGGCTTTCAAATAATTTTATTACATTAAATAATTATGATTTTAACATCATTATGACTAATTGTAGATTTACTGCATATACTTGGTATATACATATAATAAGACTCTCCAAATCATGTATATAGACCGAAAGTTAGAATCGGATAATTATATGTTTTAAATTTATTCAACTTTTTCGGTTTTTTTTATGCATAAGTGCTAAAAGGGTTAATAACAATAATGAATTTATCTAAGTGTGGGTTAAAGACCTTGTACCTTGCTATAATCTATGCGAGTGTCTACTCAAACTTCTCAAAACCAAATGCCGTTATTATTATCAGCTGTATTTACCTCTTCGCTAGAAGCGATCACTGCCACGCAGCGCCTGTGATGACTTCATTTTCATTGCATACTTATCGGGATTTTGATTATAATCAGAATTCGTGGAGCTGGTTGAGTTCGTGTGGCTTGTACCCGGCGGCCGGCGCTTGAGTAGGCTTTCGAGAAATCAATTATAAATTATAATTTGACATATTCGCTTGTTTTGAAGAGTCACTAGTGACGAGTAGCGAGTAAGTAACGTTATGAGTTTTGTTTTTGTTTTTGTTTCAATTTCGTTTTTTACATAGAGTAGTTGACTACTGGTGACACAGTTTACAATTATAACATAAGTAGATACAGTCTTTAGCATATTCATAAGCCAATTTAATGTGAGTAAACTATGGTAGGTTTTTTGTTTTTGTTTAATTTTGCAGGAGGCAGAAGGCAGGTGAGAATGCATGGCGGGAAACGAATGGCAGGCAACAGGTAGCAGGTAGCAACATTTTTAGTTCTTTTTGTTGTTTTTTTTTGTTCTTTTTTTGGTGTTTTTATGCTTGTGACCGCCGCTGTATGTGTAGCGTTTAGCTCAGCAGCAGCAGTAGCAGTTGTATGCGAACCTTTGTTATTATGGCGCTATGTTGATCACTGCGACCTGCTTGCTGTCGCTTTTGGTATTAGTTACTACACTCATTCTAACGGTATACATAAAAGAGAAATTAAGAAAATAACGAAAAATTGTAAGTGTAACAGTTCGATGAAGTTAAAATTTGATGAGGGTAGAGGGGTAAACGCATTTCAGTAATAAATTGAATTAAATTATAATTTTTTTGTAATTGTTCGTTAATTTTCCGAGAATTTTTATGTTAAAAATAAATAAAATTTCCAAAAATATTTACAATACTTAAAGGTAATCGCCTGCGCTAGAGTAAAGTTTTTCAAATAATCTGAAATATAAGTTTTTAATTTATATTTTATGTTGTAAATATGTATGAGACTAAATATTGTGTATGTATTTTTACAAATGTATGTATGTATGATTAAATGTTATATTTTATATAAATGTAAGTAATAGCTATAATGTGAAGCTATGTACAAATGCATGAAATGTAATGGTAGGCGATATTATTTTGTACAAAGCTGCCAGCATTGTAAGATCATAGGTTAGAGGTAGCAAGCGAGTTGTTTAAGCGAAGTTTTTCTTTATGCCGGTATTGTGCGAAGTAGTAGTGTTCAAGCAAGTTCGTCGTTGCTAAATTTCTGTTTTTGTTTTATAAGTAGTATATGATACTTAAAAGAAACAGTAGGCTTATAGATAGATTTTAATGGTATAATTCCCTAGAGTTCATTTTTGAAGCATCAAAATGTTTTGATGACCTCAATAAGGGTCATATTTGCGACGGATGGCTGCGGAAGGCAATAGTTACTGAGTAATAATGAAAGATCTATAGTCTCTGTGGCTTACAAATAACTCAAGAGGACACATATTTAGAAGATGGACACCAGATTGCTGAATGGCTTGCGGAATAGCTACGAGATATCACAATTATTTTTTGCAGTTTTCCAGCACTGGCTAAATAAAATACTCTTTTGGATCAGTTCGAAAATCGCCTAATCAGGTGAATATAGCTTTCATTGGAGTAGGTAGCTCTTTCAGCTTTAGGATCAGAGATCAAGGTTTTAGTACGTAGTGTTTCTCCAAATTATGAACACTTGAGACGCTGAAGTTTGGGTCCCAAATGCGTCTTCGAAATTGGGAATTATCTGATCTTGCCTTATAGCAAATATATCTATGAAGTTATGCAGACGTATAGCGCTTGATCAGTAGTCAGTTGATGAACTGAAGTAGCTGGAACTAGGTAAATTTTCAGAAATGGATTGTCTCTTTATGTCCCATTTTCTCGCAGCACTACTTACTATCTAGTCAAAGTTTTTGCATTAGATCAGGCACATGGTACCGCAATTCAGTTATGTTCATAACTGCTAAGAAGTTAGACAATAACAGCTTACTTAACACTTCTTGCTAATAATCATGTGACTATAATAGAATTTTCTCTTTTCTTACATAAAGTCTATAGGCTAGAAATTTATAATGGAGTAATTGCAGTCTCCTAAAAACGGAATTTTGGCTATGGAATAGCGTATATCAACTTCAAAAACAGACTTAATAAGATTTACAAGAAGACCTATTGAAGCTTGAACTTGATTCAAAGCTCAGGAACGTAATATTTTTAGAGCGATTTAGAGAAGTCTGGCGGTATTGATTCAAAGTTGTAAGCTGTAAGCTATGCTAACCTAAAAGCTCAGACGCCAGTAGTAGGATTTCAATAAAATTCTCGTTATTTCAGCAAGCGACCTCGCTATAAAATTAAAACACACCTCGCTAGGTGGCGCTGGTTACAAGATATTCGGTTTAATTTAATTTTTGGTTATGTTCGAATATAAGATAATATACAAGTATATTGTTCTGGTAACATAGTGAAATAAAGTAGGATAAACATGCCGAGCGTTACTCATGAAATACAATGCCTTATGATGAAATAAAGATCGAGAAACTCTTTGCCTACAATACGAATCCCCTTCGTAGAAATCTGAATTGTTACCTAAAATTTTTTTTTAAAATAATTTCAAATATGTTTGCAGAAAATAGCGTTGTGTAGATTATTACTATGAAATTGCAGCTTGAGTCACTGTAGATTAATTTGTATTTAGTTCAACACATTTACACATAACCTCAAAAAGAGTACATAGAGATCTCCTAAATTAATACACATACATACAAATTCACGAGCACATTTTACTTTTTTTTTTTTAATTTTTACCCACCGGGCTAGTTGAAAACTTTATGAAATGTTATACAAGTGTCAAAAATTTGCGATTTCCACCGAAAAATTACACTGTATGTGAATGCATGAAGCGATTACTCGTGTTGTTGTTGCTATGGTTTGGTGTGGATGGCGGATTGAAAGCGCTTCGTATAACAATTAACTGTCTTATGTGCAGTGAAGCATTTTGAAAGCGCCGACGCATTGATATGCTGCCGCCGCCAACTGTCGACGACTCGGTTTGACGGTAACTGCGTATGCGCACAGTGCTTTATTGCCATACAATTTTACAAAAATTATATATTTTAATTTTTTTGTTGTGTTTTTTGAGTTTTTGATGTATTTGATGTATTTGAGTTTGTTGATGAGCGATTCATGAGCATTTACGAATTTACAAAACAAAACAAAACGAAACATTAGATAAATTCAAATCAAATTGATAAATAATATTTTTTTTTGTGCTTTTGTTTTTGGGGACAAGACAATTATTTTTGCACTTAATATATAGTTATAAATTGGCACTGTTGCTAACTTACCGATTTGTTATTAAATGTTTGACCTTCTTCTTCATGACAAACAACATGAATATGAGGAAACCTTGTATGGCATTGCATATGTCCGAAATGTAGAAGATCTTGGCCCAGCCTTTATCGGCGCCGACAAAATATGAAAATATCTCCATAGACCATATGACGCCCATGACAATGAATAGGCGCAAAAAGAGACCGAATCTGTGGAGGTGAAGTGAAAATAATTAGTTGAGTATATAGGCATACATATGTACATATGTTTTTTTCTGTAGCAGCTTTAGTCGACAAAATTTTTCAAAAATAATGAAGTGATATACAAGCTATAGAAATCTAAAATTATTTTATTAAAAAGATAAAAAAAAGAATATCCAAAATTTTCTAAAAATATTATACTGAGGTCTAGCGAAACTCTAAGCTAAGATAGGACGTTTCAATTGCTAATTCATTATGAATTATTGTATACCGTATTACTCCGAGACTATGTCGATATATATTATTATAGTTTTTGTTTTGTATTATCGTTATTATCGATTTATTTTGCCTTGAGTAAACAAAATATTATATATCTAAGTGGAACCCTGGTTAAAAACGCTACAGATTACAGAGGTGATGTCAATAGACCACCGAGGTCATGCAATTTGGTTCAGTTAGACTTTACTCGTGGAATTATCTACGACAAATATACTCTAATGTCCTTATAGAGTGAGAATGTGAAAGGCGGGTAAAGATTTCAAATTTTTACTCTCCTAAATATAGTCTAAAGACATATATTTTTTGAAGAAGCATGAGTCGTTTAGCTTTACTTTGACTTGTTGCCTCGAAAATCGGTTATGGAGTTATTTATTTAAACTTCGGGTAGCTCAAGGAGAGTGTCGGAGGAATTTTTCCCTCACAAATATCTGTGCTCTCAATTCTCAAGCTTCAAGCTGCCGTTTTGAAGAAAATTTTTTTTATCGTAATATCCAAAAAGCTACTCACTTATCCTTTTCGGTACGTAAATTCTTGGTGCTATCCTCGCGAGCCATTATACGCGCCATTTCTCGTTGAACCCTGTGTATCTTCATGGCAGTTAAGACGAACATTATACTGTTAGCCATAATTATGAGAACGATTGGACCAAAGAAGTAAACCATCGCTGACCAAGTGCGCACTGAAGAAAATGGGAAAAAAGTGTTTAAATCAATTTCAAAGCAATTTTTAACGACAAATACTTACTGTCCAACCAGCAATACTCGCCACCGCCAATACCAGGTTTCCAATAATCCGGTATAGCCGCAATTTCTTGCGCATACCACGTAAAGATCAAAAAAGGCACCGGTATACCCCAGGCATAAAGCGAATAGACCAGAAAACGTTTCTTCTCCTGAAAACGATTAATGCCACGCGTGCCACGGAAATTATGCCACAAATCGAAGCTGATAACACTCAGCCAAAAGAATGCTGCCATGAAAAAGTAATAGGCGACATAACCAAGCGACTTGCAGAACGCTAGACTGGAGTAGGCATCCAATTGCAAAGAACTTATCGCAAGCAACGAGTAACCAATAATGAGTCCAATTAAATAGCAAACCAACGATTTGCCGTGTTGATTGCGCAGCTCCGGTATGCTCAAGTAAACGACAATGGTGAGTATCATGAACGGTATGGAAAACAACATGGCTGTTTGGGTGGTAGAAAGACGGAGAGGAAGTGTTCAGAGAATGAAGTTCAAGTATAATTTTTTTCCGATGTGTACTTACCATAAGCATTTATTGTCTTAATGGTGCTGTAATCTGTGTCATAGTTGCAATTAGCCGGATTGATGATGTACATAGTGTCTATAGTATCATTCGCCACCGTCGGATGGAAACAGAATTCGTTTTTGCTGAGATAGACCATGTCGAGCACGCGCAGTAATGTGCCATTCTGTAAAAAAATGTTGAAGAAAAGTAAAATATTGAATAATTTCGAAATCTACGTTAGACTAGAAGTCATACATAAAGATGTGAAATGAGCATGTATCTTATTCATAATTCATTGTGGGATTAAGAAAGTTGATTTAACAGACTATAAAGAAGTTTTTTATCTCAGAAAAACATAATCTGCGAAATAAAACGCAGTTAGATTTTATCCACGCAACCTACTAAATGTTGGTGGGTAGGTTCAAGAGCCCAATATAGTTCTGATACAAGTGAGCTTGCTGTTTTACTTCGAAATTTAGTAAAATCATTAAAGTTGGTTCAGGTAGGCTAACACTCCGATTATTGAAAACAGACTAAAAACATAACAAAGCTTGCAATGGCTGCCTTTGTTTAAATACGCATTTAGAAATTTGAGAGATTTGAGAATGAGCCACTGAGCTGATTATGTATGCTACAGTAAAACTATATTTCGGCTAAACAAAGTTAGCATATTCCGGGAAGGTTCTACCACGTTGGGACTGCAGTTTAGGGGAATGCTGCCGAGTTGAAAGTCCTTAATGGATGTAAATCTGGGCTTTTAGTGGTTATGTAAACCTCATAGTCGTGAGTAGGGTTCTATGTTTCTTCTAAAGCCTATTTCCAAAACCTAAATAAGGCAATGGCCCATGTTAACACGACGATGACCCGACGAAAGTTACGTTTATATTTAAACTTAGAAGTTCCTCGAACTCATCCGTAGCCAGCAGTCAGAAATTGAAACAAAACAGGTTTTCAAATTCAATTCGAAGTTTATTGAGAGCAGCTATCTATTAAAGCACGCAGTTTAGGGAGTGCCCAATCTCGCAGGCGTATTAATCTTCGGTTAGAATGAAAATCACTGTACGAAACTTAAACTTTTAATACTATAAGTTTTCTTGGTTTTTAATTTCTTTCAATTCCACTTACCTCGAACAGCTTCCAATCGTCGAAAGAGCCGAGCTCCGGTTGCAATGAGTACATATATTCACATGGTCGAAAACTCTGCACAGCAAATTCATTAAAAATATTCACCACCTTCAACGTTTCTCCTGGCATAGTCAAATTTAACAGCGGCTGGGGCCACTTATAGTCGGTATTGTTGACACAAGCGCTCTCATTGGTACTATAACTTGCACCCCACGGACAGCAGATATTAATGCATGGCTTCAGTTTACAAATACAAGCTCGCACATGTGACTCCACTTCGACACGCCGCACGAGATCGGTGTAAATGTAGTCGTAGGTGCCGATCAGTTGTGGGGGGATCATAATGCCATCGTGTAGATATGAACCGTTGGGGAAATGCTGATCGCCCGTTACATTGACCGTATCAAAGAAGGTACAAGGCACATGAATGCCATCGCGTTGATGAAAGTTCTCATTGTAAGCGATCACTAGGGGCGGTAGGCAAATGGTGAGCGCCAAGCCGATAAAGACAAGTTGCAGTGGAAATCTGCGAAAAAACGTTTGTGTATGTGTTTGTGCCATTGTTTTTGGTCTGGTTCCTGTGAAAAGCTGTTAAGTAGAGAGTGAAAAATTAAATAGTATAAGATAAACAAATAAATAATAAAAATAATATTTAAAGAGCTTTGGGGTCTTTTTTAAACTCCTACCGAAAACGGCTCACAGAGATATTCCTTGTGTAAAAGCTTTATATATAATATATCTTAAGTTAACTAACCTAACTTATTAACGGCTGGGCATTTTATATGAATAGTAATAGAGTTTTATGCAAAAAAAACAAAAACATGGTTGGAAAATGTGTCATATTCGGCTCTCAGTAGGGATACTTAATTTTGAACCAAACATATATACGAGAGCTGATTCGATTTTTGTCTATTAATGAACAGACAATATGTAACCATAAAGTGTATTGAGTGTATTCTACTCTATTGGTTCTTCAGTCAATTAGTTATCGTCTCGTGAGCTTTCATCAGACTGAAAGTAAGAAATTATTACCTATTATACTATTATATAATATATAGGTATATCTCATATGAGTTGGTATTGTGTGAGAGGATGAAGTATTATTTTTTAGACGAGAAAGAGCTCTAGTGCTCATTTTCGTCTTATTTACAGTAGTTATGTTGGTTTCGGGATTGTTTAAGTCGTTTGACTAATGAGAGGGTATTTAAGGCAATCCAACATCTCAAAGTATTTCTTCACTATTTGAAAGAAAAACCGACCCCGTCTATGTAATTTATAAAGAGAAATATTTTTTATAGCTACGAATTGCTAGCCGATATTTTACAATATTGTAATCATAGGAATTGTTTCACCTTATCTTCGGTTTTTCATATAATAATAATTCCGCGTATCTTGAATTTAAAAATACCTTCTCAATATGTCTCAACTACTTCGATGAGTACATCGTACTTTTATTTATTGCCTGCTTGGTTCTTTATATATTTGAACATATACTCGTAAATAATTTTTGTGGATTAATGTAGCAAATGAGTTTCAAAGTGTAGCGCAATATCATATAAAAGTCTTATCTTGCGGCCAGCTGGGTTGTGCGTATCGTGCGTGAATTTTTCAATGGATTACTAAACAAAGAAACCACACATAATATATTTACTATCATACACCACTTCAAGGAAAGATAACAAAAAATAAATAAAATAAAACAATTCCAAACAAAACCATTGATTAAAAAAAAACCTTTTAAACAATTATTTATAACCGCTTCAAGGAAAACTTTTGAAGATTCAAAAGACCAGCTCGGAAAAGAACTTTACGTATATTCAAGAATAGTTTCAAAGTTACTTAAAGATATTGTGAGATCCGTCGATCTTTCTATGGAGTTACTTGATTTTTTCTTTGATATTTATCTTGTGTTACTTAAGGTCATTAATGAGCTGGATAATTATAAAATACTTAATGTAAGAACATCGGACTGTAGATAATATTTGGATCTACGAATCTAACCCAATATATGAAGAATGTGTTAGTACCAGTAGCTAAAAAGATTGCATACTATATCTTTTAAAAAAGTCTTGTTAGAAAATGCTGGCTGCCGCTAAATTCAAATAATATCCGGTATATATAATATAATACCTGTTTATTAGGTATTAAGGTTAATCTCTCGACGAAGATCACTGGGATTACACTAGAACAGCTTTTGTTACCAGAAAACTTCTTAAGATGAACCGAAATATCGATACAACATTTTGAGACTAACACAAATCCGTTCGGCCTAGAAATTTCGATTCCAGCCACTTCGCAAGATGACTGAAGGTATATGTTCAACGTTCAAAAGTTTTAACGCTAACTTTACAAAACCTGTACAATGGATACCAAATATTTTGTCGAAATACATGCTTTGCTGGCTTTTTGCTGTCCCTATCCAAGGTTTAATTAAATAGCGAAATTTGGTACAGAAAGCTGAGAATTCATTTAACGCTGAGTAAGGTTTCACGTTACTTCCCACAGAATTCATCTGGTCAGACTTCTTATATCCATTTTATAAGTGAGATTAAAGGATTTCAAGTGCTTAGAAGTCTTAGAGGTCAAGAGTTTTTTGGCAGCGAGCTTTATATAAGAAATTTGCTTGAAGTTTTAATCAGTGTCACATCGAGTGATAGACTGCTGGCACATTTTCACAAGAAAGGCAACCACCAAGAACCTAGCTGATCCATCACATTGCTTTGTAGAAGCCTCCACCTGGGTTTCGTAGTATGAAATTAATATTCACTCCGTTTATTGAAATAAAAAACACACATAAATATTAGTCAGCTATGCTCATAAGTAATTTGTCATATGTCCAACGATTATTGACAGTACAGCTTATCGTAAAGTCACTCAAAGGCATAAGGTCCTTTAACGCCTGTCATTAAACCGTATCGAATGCCAATGTAATGTGCGCCAGTAATTGATTATATGTGTGAATAGAAGCAACAAAATATTCATCAATTTGCATATTTATTTGTATTGAACTTGTAGTAACTTGACGTAAATGTCATTAGAGCGCTTAAGTACACACTAAGTTTTATGATAACTATAAGAGCCGCTAAGTTAACTAAATGATGATCAAATAATTTAGTGTAACCTTTCTTGCTGCATGCGAGATTACCTTGTTTGTTCATGTAAATTGGTTGCCTGTTAGTCATAAGTTAATGCAATATATCTTATTTATGTGCCTGGAATTGTGTCATAGTTTCATTTATTTTGAAAGGGAAATGGTTCGTAAACTTATCTATTCCTTAGGGTAATGTATGCATGCTACTAAGTTGTGTTCATGGACATATTGTCGCCGCACTTACCTAAATACTTAGCGTCAAGCAGAGAAAAGCCGCCAGACATAAACTGAACTTCTCACTGCCTTGTAGGAAATTGTTTGCGCTTGAGTTTGTTACAGGTGATATAAGGTTAATTTTGAGATCATTTTGTTGTGTCTAAGCAATATAACAACGTGTTTGCTAGTAATTTTGTGTTTCCAAAGGTATAACAGCTACGGAATTTTTAATGCTGCAGAAGTGTTTTGGGAAGTGTGCTTTATCACGAATGCAAGTAATTGAGTAGTGCAAAGCATTCAGTGAAGGTCGTGAAGCCATCAAAAACTTGACTCATGTGAGTCGTATATACAACTCTATTAATGAGGATAACATCAAAAAAAGAAAAATTTAAGGAAAAGTGCTTGAAAATCTGCCTGTTGGCATCAGAGAGTTAGCAGAGGATTTCAACATCTCTTATGGATCACCTCAACATATGTTTTGGGTATGCAGCGTAGCAATATTAGACTCGTAACAAAATATCTGAATCACAACATTACTGGTGACAAGACGTGAGTTTATGAATATGACGTCGAAACTGTCCAACAATCTAGCGAATGGCGTTCCAAAAATTTGCCGAAGATGAAAGAACGAAAATTCACTGAAGGTAATGAAGGCCGTCCCATCCGGGGCTTATAACAAGCGTATGGAAAATTTGATTAAGCGTTGACAACCTAGTATTGGCTCCGGAGCGTATTTTGAAGGTGACAAAAAAGATTTATATTAAAATAAGCGAACATTTATGTTTTATGTTTTTTTTTTTTGTCAGTCCACGTTAAATGTGATGAGATGGTAGTTAAATTTCTCCGAATTCAGCCGAGCTATTGTAAAAGTTATACAAAGGCTGATAAGATAACTAATATCTTTCTTCAAATTCTAATATTATAGTATAACTATATATTCTTCACAAAATTTTGCATTTAATCCTCGTAATTTGTAGGGAGATCTACTGAGATTAGTCCAAGGTATTTCAGGGCATAATTTCGAAGTTTCTCAATTAAATGAGGGCAAACAAAGATGTAGAGACTATTCAGTTTTAGTTTTTTAGTATAGCATACTCTAAATTCTTTAAAAATGTTAATGCAGTTGTAGGAACAGTTGGCATTTTGCCGGTAAGCATAATGAACTGATGACGAAAATGAAGTCTATTTTTTCATAGGATGTCAAAAATAGTTCAGTGAGAAAGATTTTATTCAGTAAATGTATATGGAATAACTTCTAGGTGGTTTATAACATAAATACTACCATAATGTATACACAAATCTGTTAAAGCGCCACCTATTCGAAGACAACAAAGGATGCACTGATATAATTAATTTTAATTTGCAAGTTTAAAATAGCTACAGTGTTTTTATTATGTTAAAAAAAAAGTAATTATAAAAGGGCAACACCATAAAAAAATACCTTAGTAAATAACAAGAATTTAGGATTTGGCATTTGCTTTCCTACTGGGCATGCTTATATATGTATGTAAGTGTTTAATTACAAAGTAATTTGTCATTGCGTATTTACCCACATGTAAAATAAATTTCTGCGTATAGGTATTGTCACGGTCATAACACCGACGCTACATAATGAAGAATTTAACTTATTCCCAAAAGTGCTTTTGAAATTAATCTTAAACTGTTATACAGACGAATTGCAGGGCGCAACAAATAAGTAAAAATGCTACTTATATAAGTTTAGCTTTTCTCTGAAAGCGTGTGTGTAAACATCTTTCGTTTATTTTCATTTCTCAGTGGGCATATTACTCTGAGGTATCAAAACAAAAATATGAAAATTCTGATAAAATATAATAAACCCATAATAATCAAGAAATATGTGGTAACGTTAAAAATTCGAAAAAGTTAATGAAGAAAATTTAATGAAAATTATCGAGAAAAATGAATGAAACAAGTAAGGAAAGGCTGAGATCGAGATCGAAAAGTGTGAAAGAATTTGAGAAAAGAAAGATCTACGATATTATGGGAATTTGGAACCATGTTTGTTTCAAGCAGGAACCTATTAACACTCAAGACAAGTTCTTCGATATTATAGGAAAAAATCTATGTTTGTTTCAAGCAGAGACAATCGCGTTTTATAATATAATAAATCGTGGGAATCTCAGCTGAGTTCCTGACCATAGAAATATAAAAGTCAATGAGATGGCAGACTGTCAGGCTAGAAAACTAGGCCGACTGAACGGGATGATGGTAAAACAAATATATTATTTGCTTAGAAAAAGCATTATTATGGACTTACAAG